TTGAGGGCGGTCCGGGCGTTTCGCCTGAGACTTCCTCACTTTTTATGAGCCTGAAGCTTACAACTTGACAACAGTTTCACAGATGGAGGGCGGGTCGCTTTCAAAATGTGGCTCTCGCCTTAGCGCCGCGCACAATCTTCTGAAAAACATGCACGAGCTTCACGGATTGAGGGCGGGTCATTTTCAAAATGTGGATCTCTCCCTAGCGCCGCGCACAGTCGTTCTATAAATTTGCAAGAAAGAGTTTCTCGGATTGAGGGCGGGTCGTTTTCACATTGTTGCTCTCGCCTTATCGCCGCGCACGTTCGTTCTAAAAGTTTACAAGAATTTCACGGAGTGAGGGCGGTTCCTTTTCAAAATATGGCTCGCGCCGTAGCGACGCGCACATTCGTTGTAAACAAATGCAAGAGCTTCACGGATTGAGGATCTTCCTTTTCAAAATGTGGCTCTCGCCTTAGCGCCGAACACATTGGTTTTCTAAATGTTCACGACAGTTTCACGGATTCCCATGATCAGCGTACCAGAAATGGTGTTCTGGAAGGATGCAGGATTATGAGGGCGCAACAGTTACGTTGATTCGCGGTGCTGCAATCCCAAGAATGACGTTCTGGCACGATTCTGGACCGTCATAGCGCAACAGTCAGGTTGATCCGTGGCGCTGGAATCCCGAGAACGATGTCTTGGTATGCATCAGGGTCTTCAACGAGGCATTTCCCTCAGCGGAAATGTACTCTTGTAGGGACCTATCAGGAGGGAGCTTGGAGGGAGGGCTCATTCCAACCAACGTCGTTGGTGACTCTTGGGTTTACACTGGTCCTCCTCCTCCTGCTCCTCCTCCACCTCCTCCTCCTCCCTCCTCCTCCTCCTCCTCCTCCTCCTCCTCCTCCTCCCCCTCCTCTTCATCCTCATCCGCCTCCTCCTCCTCCTGTTCCTCCTTCTTCTCCTCCTCCTCCTCCTCCTCCTCCATCTTCCTCCTCCTCCTCCTCCCTCCTCCTCCTCCTCCGCCTCCTCCTCCTCATCATCCTCCTCCTCCTCCTCGTCTCAACTCGGCCTCCTCCGAACCGTGGGCAGCACCGTCCCTCTCCCTCTGCCAACAGGGATGAGCCGAGCCCCAGGAGCTGTGACGAAAGCGCGAAGGCAGCAGCCCCCTGATGACGGAGAGGAGCGCTGCAGCGACCCTCGTCTCAACGGCGAACCTCTACGGTGGGGCAGCGGGCAGACCCACTAGCGCTCTTGGGCCTGCTGGCCCGCTCTGGAGGACCAAGCGCTGCAGGCTTCGCAGCCGCAGCATGCGGTATAGGTACACGGACGGACGGGCCGAGCGACTGGCCGACGTGTCAACAGACTGGTCGACGGACCGGCTGGCTTACCAGCAGAGAACTGGTTGATTACGGCGTGCCCCCCCTGCCTGCCCCTTCGGGGAGGATGCGGGGGCCTTGTTGAAGCCTCGCAACCGCCTCATGGCCGCTTCACGGCCACTGCCACACGTGGCATCCGCCAACGCATGGCTACACCACGACCGACGCATGCCATCCATCCCTCCTTCCTCCTTCACTCTCGCTTGCTCTTCCTCCTTCCCTCCTTCCCTCCTTCCCCTTCCCTCCCGCCTTGACTACCCCACCTATCCCCCACAACGAACGCACAACTTGTCCAACAGCTACAGATTGCCGCCTACCTCAACATCTGCAAAGCTGCATGCTAGCCTCACCATAGACCAAAAGTGCCAAAACATCATAACCAGGACCGACGAAGTGAGAACAGGGTCTGACGTGGTGGAACAGCGAGGAGAAAACCGAGGTCGACGCAGGATGTACAGTTTGACTGAAAGGCGAGTTATGAAAGGTAACGGCTGGAAAAGACGGCAAACGAAGGGCCAGAAGGGCACGCGTGTCCAACCACTGGAAAGCAACGTGAAATAACATGCGCACCCCCTGCCATTTCCTATCCCTCGCTCTATGTCCTCTGTCCACCTCTCCTTACGGACGGTTGGTGGGAGCCTCAGAATGCAGCGAGCCACCACCAAACACGGCTGTCAGCAGGCCGCCCTTGGATAACGCGACCTCGTCGCAGGACTGGCCCTGGCGCGCTCGTTGCCATGGGATCCATCCATCCATCCTCCCTCCTTCCCTCCTTCCCGTTCCCTCCCGCCATAGCTATTTCACACATTCCCCACAGCGAACGCATAACTCGTCCAAAAGCTACATCTTGCCGAATGACTCAACATCTGAAAAGCTGCATGCTGGCCTCACAATAGACCGAAAGTTTCCACACATCCTGACTACTTAGGACCGAAGAACTGAGAACAGGTTCTAAAGTGGTGGAACAACGAGGAGAAAACCGAGGCCAACGCCAGACGTACAATTTGACAGAAAGGCAAGTTATAAAAGGTAACATTTGGGAACAAATGGCAAATGTCGTGCCAGAAAGGCAAGACTGGCCAACCACTGGACGGCAACTTGAAATAACATGTGCTTCCCCTGCCTCCTTGTATCCCTCGGTCTACGTCCTCTGTCCACCTCTCCTGACGGACGGTTGGCGGGAGCCTGAGAGTGCAGCGAGCCACCACCAAACACGGATGTCAGCAGGCCGCCCTTGGATACCGCCACCTCGTCGCCGGACTGACCCTGACGCGCTCGCCGCCCGAAGAGACGTTGGAATCCTAAGCGGCACAGACCGCCAATCTCACGGAATTCATGGATGCTCCTGGAATGAGGTAGGTGAGTCGCGCTGGGCCCACAAATGATTCAAAGTACTGGAACCGCTCAAACCGTATTTCTCATTGGGCATCAGAGAAAGCGCCGAAGCAGGTGCCGGGACCATCCCCACCTAAAGAGACCCTAAGACCCTCGAAGGTCCCCCTTGTGTTAGGTCAGGCATGTCCCCCTACAGGCAGATTTTGGACGAACAATTACAAATAGTCAAACATACTCCAAACTAGCACAAAAAAGACTCAACATATCGTCCCCATATTATCCCTCCTGTGGACGGACAGGCCCGACTTAACATTTGTGGCGGGATGCACGGCAGGCCACTACATACAAATGTGTTCTGGTCGAACGCAATACAAATATGTTCATATATGCACTAGGGTGTGTTTATTGATGTATGTAAATATACGCACACATGCAACCAAAACTAGCACCCCGTGGAAATAATATTATTCACGCGAATCCAGCGTCCCATCTGTTCGACCCAAGCCAGCGCATTCAAGCATATCAAAGGAACTACAGCCGCCACCGTGCCGCTGGGCACGGAGCGGGTGTGTCCTGAGGTCCTTTGCCTAATCCCTTAAGCCTCAGTCCTCACTCCTTAGAAGCTTGAAAGGGCCCCAAACCCAAATTGCCAAATCTCCTGGGGCTTCCCGCGTGAGGGCCCCCAAGACGGGTCAAGAGAGCCCCAGGAAGCGCCCAAGACGGTCCAAGAAGGCCCCGAGTCGCCGAACGATCGTTCCAAAACGCTCAAGATGGCCCACAGACGGCACAAGGCCTCTCAGACGCCCCAAGAGGCCTCCAAGAAGCCTCTCAAGAGGCCAGACTCACTCACTTTCCATAAGTGTCTGAAGGGTTTGGGCGTTCTCGCCTCGACGCTACCAGACGGTCCTAGGGGCCCCCAAGACCGCCCCAAGACGGCCCAAGAGACCTCCAAGAGGGCCCCGCAAAATCCCAAGAGGGCCCCAAGGCGGCCCAAGAGGCGCCCAAGACGCCCAAAGAGGCCCCAAAGACGGCTCCGAGAGGGGGCCCAGATGGTTGGTGGACACGAACGGACATGTCGAGCCCTCGGCCCCCAGGGGCCCCCAGGAAGCCCCAAGAGGCCCTCAAGAGGCCCCCAAGAAGCGACCGCAAGAAAGCAATTACATCCCTCACCGTGCCTTGAGTTCGTCGTTGAGGGCCCCACGGCTCAATGTCAAGGCCATGCGGGGCCCTTACAAGGCGTGCCGCGCGAGCCTCGTGAAGCCCGAGATTGCCAAAACAGAACTCACGTGCTTCATATGTAAGCATACAGCTATAGACATGTGTATGTGTGTATCGATGCGCGTGCGTAAATATAGATGTGGGTGTATGTCTGTGTATGCATGTGCACACATATGTATAAATGATGAGATAGTATGTCGATGGACAAGATATCTCTTTTCCATCTTGAGCCAAAATGGGTGCACGGAGGAGGGTGTCAGAATCACTCCTCCTCGGGCCTGGCCGCCAACCCGGCCAGGCACGACCTACGTCGTACGCGGGCGCGCCCAAGCCGACGCGCCCATCTCATCAGCTAGGCTGCGGCCATGCCGCGAGCCCCTCACTCCGTCCGGCGCGATCATACCGCCGCCGGCGGAACCTCATCCAGCCCCACAGGTAGCGGAGCATGGATTCGATCCACTCCATCACTTGAAGTCCTTCTGAGTCAAACTCGGTGTCCGATCCCAGATGTTGAGCGTCGCCATGTGTCTCCTCAAAAGGGAGCCACCCACGCTCTTGGTCAGCACGTCCGCGACATTGTTCTTACCAGGAACCGCGGCGATCGAGAGGTCGCCCTTACCCACGCGCTCCTGGATCCACAAGTATCGTGATTGAACATGTCGCATCTTCCCGAGACCCCGCCGTTGGACGTGGCCCCGGGCCGCCGATGAATCCGAGGCAAGCTCCACCTTCAGGTCCAGCCCCCAATCCGCGAAGAGGCTGTGAAGGCCCAGGCCCACGCTCCCGCCCTTCACCAGGGCGTAGTACTCGCTCTCTCCGCTGCTCAAAGAAACCGTCGACTGCAGATTACTGCCATGCTTGACGACATGATGCCCCAGCATCGCCACGAAGCCTCCGGTGCTCTTCCGGGTGACTGCGCAGCCCGCATGATCGGAGTCCACGTACACCCGGATCTTGTCGAACATCTTCTGCTCCGTGAAAACCGTCACCGTGCTAGGATGCCGCTTGAGGTAGCGGCCAACCCTCTTGAGCATGAGCCAACTCGCCTCCGTTGGCGTCTGCATGGACCTAGCGAGCGTCTTTGATGCCTCTGCCAAGTCCAGCCTGTCCTGAGACAGGTAGGCCACCCTCATGGTGAGGGATCGGAAGCGCGAAGCTTCCGCTGCTCCCAACGCCGCCGACTTCGCATCCATCATCTGCTTGTCGGCGCTGCGCTTCTCCATCGGCGTGTCCACGCCGTTGGCCTTGCTGAGACCCAACTCGTCGATCACGATCTCCGCGCGCCGCTTGTCCGGCTCGATCATCGCATGCCGGCAGGGCCGGCCACCGCCAGGCGGAACTCCCGCACTGACCTCGATGACCCGATTCAGGAAGACCGCCTGCTTGTCATCGCCCTCGTCGAAGCCTAGGTTCGCAGTCTTCTTGAACTCGTACTTCTTGCCCAGCGTGGCCTCGAAGCTGTCGATGTCCTGCTGCTGAGCCAGCACCGCGAAGTCGTCGCCGTGCCCCAGCAGCCTCGTCTCGTCCACCTCCTTGTAGAAGACCGCTGGGCACGACACGCCCGCCTTGTAGCCGTGTTCCTCCAGCAGCTCCGTGTAGTCGCCCTGCCAGATCTTGCTGGCGTCCTGCGTGCCGTACCAGGACTTGAGGAGTAGGCCGCACTTGTCCTCGCCGTACTCCTTGCGACTCTCCTCCTCCAGCTCTACGAAGATCCTCCGCTGCGCCTTCCCGTAGAAGTGCGCCCTGCTGATGTCGAAGAAGCCGATCTTGAAGTTGCCCGGCTTCCTGCCCTTCTTGCGAAGCGACTCCTGAATGTGGAGCGGTGCTTCCCGCGTCCACGTGACCATCAGCGAGACCAGCGACCGCATGGCCTCCAGAGGAGGCATGGCCGAGAAGACCTCGGACGCCTCCAGCTGCTCGTCGGGGCGCTTCTTCGCCTTGATCTCCTTCACGACGAGCCTGCTCCTGTAGTTGGGCCTCTCCGCGTCACCCTTGTTCGTGTCGACCCACTTGAGTGGGATGGGCGGACGCCCAGTCTCGGCGAAAGCCTGAGACCTCGGGACGATCTCGATCAGCTCCTGCTTCTTGACCCACTCGCGCTCGACCGCGCGAGCCTGGGCCACAAGGCCCGCCTCCAGGTAGCCGCCATTGACGTCGCCCCAGTAACTCGTCCAGTCCCCGGGCGGCACTGCCGCGTCCACAGGGACTGGGCCCGACTGCTGCACCTGGGCGGTGCTGAGCTCTCCCACGTCATCCAGCGTGTCCTTGAGCTCCTCCAGCACCGCCTCTACCAACTTCGGTGGATAGACCTTCGCGAACCGCGCGATGCCGCCCACGAGCGTGATGTGGCGATGCCATTCCGCGCGGCCGTCCACATGGCTGCAAGTGCCCTGCAGCCTCCGGGCTAAGCCTGGATGGTTGGTGACCCATCCGGTCTCCTTGCGCACGAACTCCTCCTGACCACTGCGTGGGTTCGCGAGCTTCATGCCCCACCGACACATGGGGCCTTTGACCGTGAAGACTCCTGGATGCGCGACCAGCTCCTTGACGATGTCCTCATTCCACGATCGCGCGCTCCAGGGATGCTCATGCAGGAAGTACCTGCCTGGCTTCCTGAGCTGACGCCAGTAGGCGTCGACTGCCACCTTCAGGTGGTGTCTGGCCTCCTCCATCTCAGCCGCCTCCTGCTCATCGGTCCTGAACTTGGCGCTCAGGCCCCTCAGCAAGCTGAACTTCTCGCATGGAGGGGACCCCGTGAGCAGGATGGGATCCATCCGCTCCTGCTGCCTCTCGAGCTCCTTGACATCCTCGGGGCGCCGCAAGTCCCACGGCGCCCCGTCCTCCTTGAGTTCCTCCAGGTCCGCCGCGAAGCCCGGGCGCAGCTGAAATTCCGCTGCCCGAGCCGAGAACCGATGTGGCGAGTACACCTCGGCCACGTCCACGGCGCCCAGCTGCAACGCCGATAGGGCGATGCTGTCCACCTCTTCGTCGGCGATGTCCACGCCGGCGCTGGCCCAATGGCCGCTGACCTGTTCGCGAACGAGCGGGAGCAACTCCGCCTTCGCTCTCGTCAGCACTCCGAGCTCAACCAGCTCGATCGACGCCACATCGAGGGCGAGCACCCGCATGTGCCTCCCCTCACTGGCGTCCCACACGACTGCCACTCCAGCTGGCAGCTGAGGTCCTTCCGCTGGCGCCGGCTGCGCCGCGAGATCCTCCATGTCCACCGGTACCGGCACGTCTGCCGGCTGTGGATCGCCGCGCTCGAGGGCCTCCGGCACGTCATCCGGGGCCACCTCCGCCAAGCGCTTCAGCCGCGACCTGGTCGCGGTCATGTCGACATCCTCGGCGGCCTCTGCCGCTCGCACTGCTCCCGAACTGGAGCTCGCTCCTCCTGAAGGAGCCGCCCCGCCGGAGCCCGATGCTACCGGCTGGCTCTCTCGCATGCGCGCCGCTGCGGCTGCCGCGGCTGGCGCTGCTGCCGATCGGGTCGCGGCCGGCGCGGCCGATGCCGCCGCCGCCGCTGCCACCGGCTCGGTGATCCTCCGAGCCGTCTTCGGCGGAGGGGTCCCTGCCGCGGCCGCTGCCGCTGGTCGGACTCTGGCCTCTTGGCCCTGCCTCCGCTCTCGATACTGGCCGGTCCTCTCCCGGCCTGCCTCCTCAGCGTCCAGCGCTTCGAAGATTCTCTTGCTGCACACCGCGTTGTGCGCATGGCCAGCCAGCACCTTGCCGTGCTTGGCGATCGAGACGCACCCTGGGCATCCCGGCGTTGCGCCCAGCCGCTCGACGTCCGCCTTGAGGACGTACATCCTCCTCGGCGCCTGCGGCTGCGGCGACACCACCACAATTGGTGGCGGTCCGACCTCTCCAGGTCCGACGATGGCCCGCGGCGCGCTTGCCGCACGCGGAGCCACGTCCCACGGCAGGCCCTTCAGGCCATCCCAGCCCGCCGTGATCCACTTCTCGCTCTGCGGCAGGCTGCGAAAGCCTACCGCCTTCTTCACGCCGTCGCTCGTGATGACCATCATCGAGCCGTCGCGCGGGTGGTGGCCGATGTAGCGAGCCTCCACCATCTGCTCCTCCAGCGCGTTCTTCCTCGCGCGCTCCCCGGCGAACCGCGCCATCAAGCGCTCGCCGAAGAGCGGGACCGGCTTCCTCCACTGCCGTCCCGTGAGCCGCTGGAGAGCGGTCTTGCCATCCTGGCCGCGCCGGTATCGGTTGATTACCGATGCGGCGTGCTCCGGCAGGTGCGCTAGCACCGGGTGCTTGTCCTCCACCTTGACGCCCAGCTTGGACTCCAGGTCCATCTTGAGCGCCCGCACCTGCTTCTTAATCTCGCGCACCGTGACCTCGATCTCCCCATTGGCCTGATGATCGGCCGGTGCCGACTCCTGGGGAATGGCCTCGAGGCCAGGAACCTCCTCCACCGCACGCCTCTTGACCAACAGGATCGCCGGCTCGCCGTCGGACTTGTTGACGATCTTCCTGTAGCCCAGGATCCGCAAGAAGCGTGCGAAGAACTTGATGGCGTAGGCGTCGTCGCCCTTCTTCTCCACGAATGTCGCTGCCATCATCTTCGAGCGCCGATCCCTAAGTACCAGCATCGGCATGGTGTCCGCGTCGTCCTGGCCCATGAAGGCGTAGTCGGACGAGACCACCGGCACCGCCGTCTCGTCGTCCTCCGGTGCGCGGAGATGCGGCTGGCCTTGGCCCTTTGCCGCAATACACACGCGACACCAGCTGCGATAAGTCGCGTGTCCCATCGCCTCGTGTTCGTCGATCTCCCTCTGAGAGGGCTCATGAGGTGCCTTCAGCACTCTCGGGCGAGCCTCCTCCTCGCCCTCGTCGGCCTGCTGTCCATCAGGAGCAGCTGGCAAAGCGTCGGCCGCAGCAGCTGCCGCTGGCTGAAAACCCGGCGGTCTCACGTCGGAAGGTCCCGACCCCGCCGCTGCCGCCCCCGCAGCCGATGCCGCCGGGGGCCGTGGTATTAAGTCCTCCAGTGGGCTTACGCCGAGGGCTGCCTCCTGGGGACTGTCTTCTCGAGGATCTCCAGCAGCTCCTCCTTCGACTTGCCGCTGAGGAGCTCCACTAGCTCGGACTTCGACTTCGCCGAAAGTCCCTCCTCGAGAGGAGCAACCGAGCCATGTTGGCCCTTCTTGAGGTAGAAGTTGTAGACGCCCTGCTCGCGATAGACCGGCAGCATCTGGTGCTTCGCCGCCTTCGCCTCCTTCTCGAGCATGCCTACCACGCGCTTGCCGATTGGGCTCTTCTCGTGGAATATCCAGCCGCCATTGCGACCCAGGAATGAACACTGTCCAGCTCCTGCTGCCTGCCCCACCGAGATCAACGGCTTGTGCACGTTCGTCACGCGTCCCTTGAGTGCTCGTAGCACTCCGTACTCGTCCTCCGCCTTGAGCTGCAAGCTGCCCTCGTCCGGGACGAGCTCACCACTGGCCGTACGATACGTGCTGCCGTTGCCCTTCATTCCCGTCGGCGGCGCGAAGCTCCGAGGGAATGCTGAGATAGCTGCACCGCTGTCCCAGTTGAACTTCATCCAGTCGTCCTGCGCGAAGGGGGAGAGGTCGACCGCCGCTATGCCGCGGCCGCTGCCGCTGGCGAGCTCCAGGCAGTCCAAGCTGCCCATGTCCAGAGCGGCGACCTCCGCTTCAGGCTCCTCCTCCAGGCTGCCTGCCGCCTTGCCGCCGGCCTTGCCGCCGCGGCTACCGACTTTACCACCAGCGCTTGCCCCCGTTGCGGATCCAGTTCCAGCCCTCGTACTCGATCCCTGCTCTTTCCTCCAGCAGTCGGATGCCTTGTGGCCCCATCTCTCGCAGTTCCGACAGTAGCCGTCGAAGCGCCCGCTGGTGCTTCGAGGTGCCGTGCGCCCTGAACCACGGCCCGAACCCGTCGGGGATGTGCGGGAGCCTGAGTAGGATCCGTTCGTCGATTTGCTCTTCCCCTTCGGCTCCTGAGTCTTGCCTTTCCCTTTGCTCTTGCCGTCCTTGCCCTTGCCTTTGCCTTTGCCTTTCGGGGCTCCGAACGATCCGACGTCCATGTCGTCCGGATGATGCGCCCGCGCACGGATCGATGGCTCCTTGATCTTCACGCCGGTCCGAGCCTCTACGATCGTCATTACCTCGTTCAGACTGTCCTGGAACGTTACGAGCCGATGCTTGTTGAGTACGAGGTGGTTCTCGATGTCCTGAGGCACGAGCATCTCGAGGGCCGCCATCTTGATATCCTCCGGCAGCTCGGCCAGACCATCTTCTCCTTGGCGGCGTTCGTACCTGCCTATCTGCTGGATCCACTTCTCTAAGGCGGACCCCAGCTCGTCCGCGCTGCACTTCGGAGGCGAGATGATCGACCTCAGGATCAGCCTCTTCCTCGGGCCTGTCGTCGGATCCCACCTGCGGTGGAGCTTCCGCCAGGCTTCGAGACCGTTCCCGTCGGGGGCGCCCGTCACGAGGTCGTTGCTCTCGCTGCCGTCCGCCGTCGTGCTGAGCAGCGCCGCGTACAGCTGGTTGACCTTGGTCTCCAGCTCTGGAACTCCGTCGTGCACCGCCCGAGCTCCCTCGATCGTCACGGGGCGTTCGGCTTCGGCTGCCCACCGAAGAACAGGGCGAAAACTCTCTCCGTACACGCCGATCACGTAGTTCTCCATCTTGCGATTCCAGGCGCCGAACTTTTCTTGGTCGTCGCCCATCGTCGTGGGCTTGCCGATCCCCTTGGTGTCTACGAGACCTTGAACGGCTCCACCCGCGCTCGTCGCGCCTCTGATCTGCTCGCCCATCCGCTCGATCGCCTGCGGGATTGCCGCGAGGCCTCCTGCCACCTGCTGCTGAAGACGCTGATTCTCGTTCTCCAGCCTCCTCATCTCGTCGGCTGCCTGACCTATTTGAGCCGCGAACTCCTGCCTCAGCAGTTCGAACTGATGCCGAACCTGCTCGTCCATGTTTGACAGCGTGTCTCTCGGCGAGCTCCTCCCGGCTCTCCGCTATCTCTTGCCTCGTGCGTTCGAGGTCCGTAATCCGGCCTAGGACTTCCTTCTGCGTTCTCTCAACAGCGTCCGATGAGTTCTCCGACGGGTGGTCCTCGATGTACGCGAGGTGGTGAAGCTTGTTGCCCGTCTCCCTCAAGTCGTGCTTGAACTGGAGCTGCTTGCGCCTGGTCTCGATCGCCTCGTCGCTCCTCTTGCCGCGCCTGCGGCCACTCTTCCCGGCCCCTGCCGGTTGACTCCTCCCGGCCCCTGCCGGTTGCTCGGCCGCTGCCGAGCTCGGTGCGGCCGATGCCGCCCTCTTCCAGCCTCGAGCCTCTTGCCAGCTCGCCGTGGCGCCCGCGGGCGCGCCGAGGCCCTGGTGGGTCGGCAGCAGTGAGTGGCCAGCTCACGCTACCATGATGAGATAGTATGTCGATGGACAAGATATCTCTTTTCCATCTTGAGCCAAAATGGGTGCACGGAGGAGGGTGTCAGAATCAATAAATATATATATATACACATATATATATGTATAGATGTGCGTGCGTATATGTATGGATGTACGTGTGTGTATATATCTATTATGTGGATAAATATAGATGTGAATAAACACATAACTACATTTGTATATAAAATGCATCTGTATATACATTGAAACCCGCCGACCCCTTGGGTCTCATCGGCGTGTGAGATGCTTCCCCCTTGCTAAACCCCTCCCCCGGGAGCCGGAAGCGGTCGATTTGGAGGGGGGGTCTATCCGGGGAGGGTCCTCTGCTCCAGAAATTCTGCCGGGGGGGGAATCCAGGGCTTGAAAACGGGCTGGGCTGGACCGTCACGCTGTGCCACGAGTTTGCCTTCTCCGGGTTTCGCCTTGACGAGTGGGAGCGCTGGTGTGAGCAGCAACTGCTGTTGTCCTTGGCTGGACGCAAGGAGGTGGACGAGAGTGCCCAGTTCCTGCGGAAGGGCTTATGCGTGGTGGATGCCAAGTCTGTACGACAACCTCCAGCGGGAGACCACAGGGGGACGTGACCGGAAGTGCGCTACTCAGATCCAGATCATCCAGCAAGCCATGAACGCGCTGGGCTGCGAGATCCGCTGGGTGGATCACCCAGCCATGCTCGTCGACGGAATGACCAAGAGGAAGGCGAAGCTCGGCCTCATGGTGGAGTTGTTCAGTAGGGGCTCGTTTAGCATCGCCGCTGAGAGCAGTACGCTGCAGGCACATCGTGAGAGGAGCGCTGCTGGGCAATGGCCGCAGCGCTAGCTGAGCTGTGTCATTTGGAGGCTGAAGGGAAGAGAGATTTTCGGGAGCTGTGTTTGCATAGTGCTACATATGCCTCCGCCCTTCCCTTCAGCCCAGCTCTGCTCCTTGCCCGACGCCCGCTGCAGCCATATCCTGCTCGGGCTGGTTTACCCCCGCTCCTTCATACTCCTAACCCAGAACATATCAATAATATCCTCTACCCTCCCCTTTCCCACACGATCATAGCGAGCGCCTGCTTATGTTGCGTGCTGTACATAGGTGGGAGTTGAGCCTACTGCGCGGAGCACGTGATATCACATCATCACGATCAGTGGCATTCACAGATGGTGTGAATTCATAATGGGGATGGACGATGGGGGATCGGGTGCGAATGAAGGAGACCGACTGCGGCGCTATCGCTGGGATCTGTGTCAGCATTCCTTCTGGATATACACCCCCTGCTCTACCCGACCAACGATAAACCCAGGGCTATGTGGGCATTGTGCGCGGTTTGGGGGAAATCTTGTGCTTCGAACTTCCCGACGCTCGTAGAGGACGCGCAAGGCACCCACGACGGCCCCGCGACGGCAGTTGCGACCTCCACGACGCCCACAGAGGCGCCCAAGACCAACTCCAAAAGAAAACCAGCCAAAGGATCCGATCGGACACTCCGAGCCCTCGGACCCAAGAAGTCCACAGGAGATCCCACCAGAACCCCCACAAGGCTGACACGAGGCACCCACCGGACGGCATCTACTACACCCCAAAAGGGGTCGGCGTTGCGGCGTAAGCCCGAGAATATCTGTATATATATATATATACATACATACATACATACATACATACATACATACATACATGCATGCATACATACATACATACATACATACATACATAGGTGTGTGGGTACAACAAAATAAATACATGAATGCATGCATAGATTCAGTCATACATGCATGCATGCATATACACATGCAAATACATATATGCATATATATATATATATATATAGATAGATATGCATACATAAATACATATACCTATATATACACATATGTACATGCATACATAAATACAAACACACATACATATACAAAAACATATACATATACATATACATGTACATGTACATATACATAGACGTATACATATACATATACATATATAAATACAAATATCTATACATATACATATACATATACATATGCATATGCATATACAAATGCATATATATATATATTCATATACATATACATCTACATATACATATACATATAAAACTACGTATACCTATGCATACATATATATGTGTATATGTGCGTAAAAGTATACATATACTTATCCACATACAATATACATGCATGTGCATATACATATACATATACATATACATATACATATAATTATACATATACGTATAATTATACATGTACAGATACATGTATATATATATATATATATATATATGTATACATATATACATATACACCTACATATGCGTAAACATATATATATATATACGTATATATACATGGACATGTACATGTACATCTTAAAAATACATATACATATACAACCATACACACATAAAAACAATCAAGCGAACAACCAAATCCGCCGACCCTGTCGGCGTGTGCGAGGGGCTTGGCTGTTCGAGTCGTCGTCTCCGTCGGTCGTCGCCTCCGTCGTCCCCTTTCCCTGCAGCTTCCTTCTCAAGCTCGTGAGCGAGAGAAAAATCTAGCAGTGTCGTAATCGAGTCGAAGGGAAGCCCCTTCCCTTCGATCCCTTCCCCAGGGGGGGGGGTCCGGGGGGGTCCCGGGGGGGGTCCCGGGCCGGGGGGTGTCCCGGGGGGGGTGGGGGGGCAGATTCGTTTTCCCTCGGGCGGCCTAGAAACCTCGAAAACACTCCAAATGAGGTCCGAATGCCCAAGATGGCCCCCGAGACGGCCCAAGAGGGCCCCGAGTCGCCCAAAGATCGGCCGAAAACGCCCACGATAGCCCCAAGACCGTCCAAGAAGCCTCCAAGACGTCCCAGGCCCCCTCCAAGAGACCCCCAGGAAGCCCCAAGAGGCCCCCACGAGGCTTCCAAGCGGCCCCTGAGAGCTTCCCAAGAGGCCCACAAACTACCCCCAAGAGGCCCCCAAGAGCGCTCGTCGTCGTCGTCGTCGTCGTCGTCGCCATTCAGGGTCGGCGGCACCGGCCGTAAGGCCTTCGCAATATACATACATACATGCATATATACATACATGCATGTGCATGTATAAATGTGTATTGAACAAGAAATAGATTTCCATATCTACACGTATATACAAGGAGAGAGAAAGACATAAATACAGAGAGAGAGAGAGAAAACTGAAAAAAGAGAGGGAGAAAGAAAGAGAAAGAGAGAGAGAGAGATGCCGACAGAGAGGGGACTGCAGCACCGCACCTGGCTCCACTCAGATTTGGTAAGCAGAGAACAAATCCTCAGTGCTCAGCTCAGACCGTTGAATTTCGTACGATCTTCATTGGGAGCACACCAGTCACTCAAGACAACTGCAGGAATCCGAGAGCCCCAATAGAGCATACGCCAGCTTCTGCCTCAGCTGGCTCCACCCAGACTTGGTAAGCAGAGAAGAGACTCACTCCTAAACGCTCAGATCAGACCGCTGAATTTAGTACGTCATTGAGAGCACACAAGCAATCACCACAACTGCAGGAATGCGAGTGTCAACCCAAGCAAGCGCCAGCTTATGCTCAGGCCGGCTCCACCATCAGAGCTCCTCCCTCACACTCCTGTAAGCAATTCTGTTTCTGGCTGGTCTATCGCCACCACCACTGACCTCGAGGGTGAAGGGAGACCATAACAACACGAACCAATACCAACAGTTCCGCGGAGAATACACAACAGCAAGGCAGTTGCTCCAGTCGGCTCCGATCAGCTTTGATAAGCAGAAGAGTGTGCTCCTCACTGCACAGCTCAGACCGCTGAATTCAATACGATCATCATTGGGAGCAGCTCAGTCAAGATCACTGCAAGAACACGAATACATCAATCGCCGTGCCTTCGGCTCGTTGTGGAAGGCCCCACGGCTCATACAAGTGTTGGCAAAATGATTCTGGGTTCGCATGGCCCGGAACCCGAAATCGCGGAATGCCCGGACCATTCTGGGTGATTCCAGGGTGAGCCGCGTGAGCATCTTGGCGCCCGCAGTTTTTGAAAAATAAAGGGCCTTCAGAGGGTGCGGCACCCACCCAACGACCCTGACAGCCCCTCCAGGGCCCCCCCGAAGCCCACCGAAACCTCGGCGGACATCCCACAGGCCCCCAGAGACCCCTAAAAGCCCCCACGGCACGGTGGCGGGATAGGTCGCAGCCACTAAGTTGTGCAGTCACGTGCCTCGCAACTGCCAGCATCTCAACGGACAGACCACAACAGAAAGACAAGTGCTCCAGTCAGCCCGCTCAGCTTTGGCAAGCGAAGAAAATGATCCTCAGCTCAGACCGCTGAATTCGAACAATCGTCACTGGAAGCGCACAGTCAATCAAGATAACAAGCGTCAGCTTCTGCTCCAGCTGACTCCGCTGAGTTTGAGTGAACAAGAAGGGATACTCCACACTGCTCACATCAGACCACTCAATTTCGTGTGATCACCACCTCGAGCCGCACTGCTGAGAAACCCAAAGAAAGCATTCAGTCTGAGAACCTGAAGAAAAAGGACGAGAGGGGAACACTGACGCCTGCTGTTCAAGTACGCAATGCCGCAGTACACGAAGGCAATTGCTTAGCAGGAAAACCAGCAAGACTTCGCATCCTCCCAATCCAGTGTTAGAGCAATGAGTCGCAGAAGACGCGCGCAGCTGAAGTCAGAACTGGCTGGTCTGCCACAGCTACCTCAGAATTGACACGATCGAACGGCATCACCAAAGCATTCCCCCGATACTCGCAGGTCGGCCTTCAATCGCCAGCAACTCAACAGAGAGATCGCGACAACCCCTACCACGACGACTACCATGGATGGCCTGGGTGGGCCCTTGAACCGCCCACGGAGAGGCCCACGGCCGGCAAGACGAGTGCGGGAACAACTTGGGGGACACGCAGCCCGTGGGCTTGGCCAAACTTTGGCCTGACAGTCGGCCGCGCGTGTCGTGTGTTGCATGTTGTGCGGTGTAGCGAGTGCTGTGCGGTGTGTGTGTTGAAGGTTGCGCATGAAGTGCTGTGTACAGTGCGTGATGCGTTGTACGCTGTGCCTTGTTTGCCTGTATTGCGGATTGGGTATTGGTATTGCGCGCTGTTTGTGTGTGCTGCATAGTGTGCCTTGTGTGATGGACTGTTCGCGATGCGTCGCGTGTTGAATACATGTGTGAGGCGTGTGGTTGTGTTCGTGCGCATGTGTCCACAACATCTGCCATCTCGACTGTGGCTGCACAACTACGAGCGGTCGCCATGCGTTTTGAAGGTTCCAGCGTAGCGCACGTGCTTTACCGACTGGCGGCCTGTAATTATTGAGTTTGTCCGATCGGACTCGGCGCGTAATTCTCCCAGACAGTGCGCCCAGCACGGCCGCTTCTCCGTCTAACGCACTGACAGCTTCACCAGGGAAGAAGCATGTGTGAGTCTGCATGATTTGGGGACTTGCCTGGAAACGCTCGCGCACGCGCTTGGGGGCGTTTTCCTTCACGCTCGGTGTGGCCCGCCCCTCTCTGGGGATTTCGTGGCTGTAACTTGGCCACACACGTCAGAACGGCGCGGTCAATTCAAGCTTCGCATGCCAAAATCTGTTGACAGACGCTGACGTAAAGTCGCGGTGGATGAAGTAGTGTCTGCGCGCTCTCGTGAAATTGACCGTCCTGAGACCGCTCGCACCGCTCACAAAGTCCTTCAAGGCCTTAGTGCGCTGCCATTCCTTCTCCCCCTCCGCTGCCACCCTCTTCTGTCCTCCGCCAGCTGTGCGCAATTCGCCTAGTGTCCTCGCTTACGCTTCGAACGCTGAGCGCGACCGCCATCGCTGCGACAAAAAGGTGATTGACCTTGCGCGCATGTCTGCCCGCATCAGTTTACGGTAAGACCATCTTTCGGGTGGTACTCCTTGATGACTTGGAGGGGGGCGTTGTCTGACTCGGCCCGAGACAGTGGACGAACTCGCGCAGCTGCGCCTCGCCCCGCCCGCACGCACGTCACGCACGACGCGAAACGATTTCCCGGTGGGGCACCTCGCATTTCACATCGGTCTCACATCCGACCCTCTACGTCCACATCACTCGAGCGCGAATGCAATTAGGGAGACGGACCGAGGCAAGGGGGGGGTCAGGCGCGAGCACTGCCGAGGCGCCTCGTCGAGGCTCTCGTCGCTCTGGCACTCCACGTCCAGCGGATCCAGCTCGGAGCCCCCTGTGATCCCAGGCTCAGGCCAGACTTCTGGAACCCCAAGCGCTTCACCTTCCTGCTGTTCCTCATGTTCCTCCTCCTCCTCCTTCTCCTGGTCGGTTCCGCGTCGGCTGCTTTCCTCTCTCTATATGTCTCCCTCTGTCTCTCTCTCTCTCTCTCTCTCTTTCTCTCTCTCTCTCTTTCTCTCTCTCTCTCTCTCGCTCTCTCTCTCTCTCTCTCTCTCTCTCTCTCTCTCTCTCTCTCTCTCTCTCTCTCTCTCTCTCTCTCTCTCTCTCTCTCTGTCTATATATATATATATACACATGTATGTACCTCTCACTCTGCAAATGTGTAGCCAACACCTTGTCTACATACACATAAAGATCGACAGATGTAGACACATAACTGTACATAGATACATACATACATACATACATACATACATACATACATGCATGCATGCATGCATGCATGCATGCATGCATGCATACATACATACATACATACATACATACATACATACATGCATGCATATATAACCGTATAAATATGTATATCGCTCATAGCGACTCCTCCTGCTCTGTGATGCGCAGATACGGGCCCGACAGTGTGATCCCTATTGGCATCCACTCCCAGCTGCGAAATGCAACTGAGGAGGAGAAGGAAGAGGATCAAGAGCGACAGAGGCGGCAGAAGCAGAGAGAGGGAGGGAGGCAGGGAAGGAGAGATGACAAATACACATCGCCTCCTCCTCCTCCTCCTCGTCCGTCTCCTCCTAATCACCATGGTCATCATGATGATCGTCATCATCAGCATCAGCATCATCATCGTTGTCGTCCTAGACACTACCATCGTCATCAGCATCATCATCATCATCATCAGCAGCAGCATTAGCATCATCATCATCAGCATCATCATCATCAGCATCATCATCGTCATCATCATCAGCATCAGCATCAGCATCGTCTGGGTAGGCCACAGCGCGCCCTCCATGTTGGTACCAAAACTGGTTCGGAAACAGGCCGCAAGCAGCCTCGGGTCCCCACGGGGTCGCCTCTGAGACCTCGCCGCAGGCGTCGCGGGGCAACGCCAGCGCGGCCCAAAATGGCCAGACTGCGCCGCAACGCAGCCTCGCAGTGAGCGCGAAAACGGCCCAACGACGCCGCAACACGGCCTCGCAACGACCCTGGGCACCCCCACGGCGAGCCAAAGATCGGCCCGCGAGCCTCGCGCGAGGGTCCGCTTTGGGACCGCGTCGAGGGTCTCTGGGACGTCTGTGGGCACTTTTGGGAGCTTCTTCGAAGCTTCGTGGGCCGACCTCGGGCTCGCTCGGGCCGTCTTGGGCCCTCTGGAACGGCCAGCGTTGAACGATTCGGCAATCGGCGAGACGCCGATTCGGTCAATCCACGCGGTGTAAAAACCAACGCCACCGTCATCACGACGCGAACCTTGCCAAGCATTGACGGCGAGGAAGAGCAGGCGGGGGAGAAGGAGACGGAGGAGGAGGAGGAGGAGGAAGAGAAAACGGCCCAGGAGAAGCGACAGTGGAGGAGGACGAGGAGGACGAGGGGAAGGAGGACGACGACGAAGAGGAGGATGATAAGGAGGATTGAGGAGGAGAAGGAGGACGGGGAGGAGGAGGGAGGGGGAGAAGGCGGAGGAGGAGTCCCTGAGGAGGAGGACGACGACGACGACGAGGAGGGAGAGGACGAGGAGGTGGAGGAGGACGTGGCGGAGGGGGAGGGAGAGGGAGAGGGAGAGGAGGAGGGGGAGCAGGAGGAGGAGGAGGCTGAGGAGCAGGGCGATCTTGGGTATCCGACGGTATCCAAAGCTGCGGAAGCCGACGGAAGCTGGAGGAGGAAGAGGGAAGAGCAGGAGAAGGAGGGCGAGGAAGAGGGGGCGGGATGGGGGGAGGGAGCGAGCGGGGGGAGGAGGCACCTCTCCGCACATCGACGGGCGGCGGATCGATGACCCGACGACGTTTGGATGTTTGCTGCACTCGCGCCGCATCTGGAGCCTCCGTGCGTGCCAGGCCCCAAACACTAACTGGCAAGTGCAAAAAAAAACAAGCTCCTCTGCTAAGCCTGGTCAGCGGGAAGGCGGAGGAGGAGGAGGAGCAGGACGAAGACGCGACGACGACGGACGACGACGACGGACGACGAACAAGAAGAAGAGTGGAGGGAGTGGAGGAGTGGAGGGAGAGCGACGTGTAGGATGGAGAGCTGACCAGGGCATCGCCGGCGCCCCCCCTAATCTGCGCCCAGCCGCCGGGCCGTCGGCAGCCCCCCGCCAGAACCGAAGCGACGCCAGGGGCGCCGTGGAAAAATATATACAGAAGCTGACCCGTTCGATCTTTAGTGTGCTCCTCCTCCTCCTCACTCCCTCCTCCTCCTCCTCCTCCTCCTCCTCCTCCTCCTCCTCTGCCACCTCCTCCCCGCGCTCTGCTGATGCCCCTCTCCTCCTCATCCTTCTCCACTTTACCATCCCCCCCCTCCCCCCTTTCCTTCCTTCTCCTCCGCGTCCCCCACGTCACCTCCGTCACCCCCCATTGTCATCCTCGTCACGTTCCTCCGCTCTCCTCGGGCCGGGGCTCCCCGCCCGCCGCCCGCTCCGTCGTGCTCGCGCACGGCGTTCCTACTAAGGGTCCTAAGAGAACATGTGCTTCATCATTTTACTCATCATCTGTTTCGACACGCCCTCCCAGGTGGGGTCGTCCGTGATGAAATCATCGGGCGACGACGCGGTGGTGGCGCGAAGCTCGGAGGGCAGGGCTGGGCGGGTGACTTCGACCAACCTGGGGGTCACCTTCTGGTCGGCGTCGTGCTCAGCTTCAAGGGGGACCCAAATCATCCCTTTATGAAGCTCCTGAGCGGGGCGAACTGACGAACTGATGCCACTTTCCACGGAGCGCAATGGGAAGGGATGGGATGGGAAGGAAGGGTAGGATGTCAGATGCGGCGCGAGCGCGCCTAGCTTGCCCCCCCCCCCCGCGCTCCCCGACACTTCCCAAGATCCCCAGGGTCCGTCCTGACTAGGTTCCTGAAGGGCGCCCAGCCGTGATTGCGAGAGCAGCGGCATCGGAAGCTGTTCCTCCTCCGGATCCTTGTCATACGCAGACGCGTCCGTGTGCACGAAAGGGGACAGGTCGATGCGCAGCGCCTCGAACGACTACGACGAACGACGACGAATGACGACGGCGATGACGACGACGAAGACGACGACGACGACGACGACGACGACGACGACGACGACGACGACGACGACGACAAGGACGACGACGACGACGAACGACGACGACGACTCCGTCGGAACCGTCGTCGTCGTCGTTCGTCGTCGTCGTCGTTCGTCGTCGGAGTCGGACTGACAGACCGACAGTCGGACTCCGACGACGACGAACGACGACGACGACGACCTCGGGGCCCTGGCCCAGCCCAGAGCGCCTTCAGCTCGAGCTGCAGCGCCAGCTCGGCCTCCCCGCCGTCCGCCTCGGGGACGAGGACCCTGATGTCCTCTAGGCGCGGAGCCGCGGGCGTGGGGGTGGGGAGGGAAGGGCTGGGAAGGGCGGGGAGGAAGGGGGAGGAAGGTGGAGGGGGAGGTGGAGGACCCCATCCAATCACTATCCACATTTATCCTAGAAGAAGTCCCGATCTCGGGCCAATGCCCCCCCTTTAGACCACATTGCGTGGCGGAAGTCGGCGGAAGTCCTGCTTCTCATTGTCATCCACGACGTACGTGATCGGAGTCTTGGTCTGGCCCTCCTTATTCGGCTTGCACGGCTTAAGTGCCCACCCTGGCGTGAACAACTTCGACCTCTTGTCAAGTTGCTCAGGCAAAGGGGATATGTGGATGAAATGCTTAATACCCCTGATGCAGCATTCACCTGCGACGTAGCTCAACTTCGGGCCCGCGTCCGAGAGCGTGCTCAGCGTGACTTGCCCAGGAAGTGATACCTCAAACAGGCCAACCACAGTTTGAAATCTCTTGCGGTCGGGGATGTCAATGTACACTGTCTTGCTCTGGTCCTCAGGCCCGCCGGGCCCGTTGTCCTTGACGAAGATCGGGCAGCGGCCCGCGGAAAGGCCTTCCGTGAACAACGATGAACTCAAGAGTTCTGCCGTGGCCCTCGAGGCAATGCAATGGACCGCAACCCCAAGCGAAATATCCTCCTCCGCGGAAATCTGGCGGATCGTCAGTTTGTTGCCAACCTCGGAGGAAAAAAGGGGGAGGAGGAGGAGAAGGATGAGGATGAGGAGAGGGAGAGGGGGGGAGGAGGAGATGAGGAGGAGGGGGAGGAGGGGGAGGGGGAAAGGGGGGGAGGAGGAGGAGGGGAGGAGGAGGAGGAGCGGCAGCAGCAGCAAGGAGGAGGACCTGGATCAGCGACGGTTTGGCAGCAGCACCGTCCAGCGCGGCGGCGATCCCCGCGGCGTCCCCGCCGCCAGAAGCGGCGATGTTCTCAACGCCCTCTTTCAGCTCTGCAGCCCATTCTGATGCAAGTTTATCCTCCTCGGCACGCTTCTGATTGATGTCCGCAGTCGTTGCCTGCTCCACCAGACCATCCTTACTGTCGCTCAATTTGAAGCCTGCCTCGTCCTTGCACATCTCGGACACCTTCTCCCGCAGCTGGTCATCGGGCATGGCTGCGTACGCTTTCCTGGCGATGTCCTTGGGCGGCTTCGTTAGGGGCGCTCGATCGCTCGATCGGGCCATCGGCCATTGGGTGCCCAGTAGGCAAGCATCTTTTGGTATCGGAAGCGCCCCAGGGCCCAAGGGTATCCACTGGCCCCCAGGGCCATCGGGGGGCGTGGGGGAGTTTCGCTGGGCACCCGCTGGCAAGGCGGTTTCTTACTTGACGTGCCAGCTGCAAGGGGGGCACGGGCCACGTGGGAGCTGGGGGGGATCCCGGGGAAAGGAGCAGGAAGGGGCAGCGGGGGAGAGGGAGGGGAGGGAAGGGCAGGAGGAGGATAAGGAGCAGGAAGTATACCAGACAAGATATTCGTCCTCGACGGTGGCCCACTCCGACGGCT